GGTAGGTTGATATTTGCCTCACGAGTGAGTTCAAAGCTGAAAAGAGGTAGCATTTTCTGAGGAGGCCTTGAACCTGGAGTGTAGAATGTCATGCCTTCAAGGTGTCTTTGGCTTCTTCCAGCCTTCCAAGTGTCCTTAACAGGTACTGTCATAGAAAATCAGAAAAGAAAATATGATTCAGAAACAGTTTTGCTGTGCACATGGCAAGAAAATCAGGGTCTATTCACCCCTAGTAAACAAAAGTTAAGGAAGGAAACACACCCCATGAACACCCTGGCTGCTGGGGATCGGGCTCAATGGTGGCTTACTTGCCCTAGACATAGTGTTTCTGCTTCAGCAGCTCCATCTGCAGGAGGCTCTCATCCTGGGCTGTGGTCTGCTTCAGTTCCTGCTGGAGGTTTTCAAACCTAGGGAAGGAAGGCAGCTGGGGCACAAGCCTGGGGGGACCTGCCATGTCAGCTTTTGAGCCCCCATCAGATCTACTCAGCTAGACAATTGAGCATTACCTCTCAGCTGAGCTCATTCCCTGCTTCCCAAGGGAAAAGGATCAGAGAGCATCCTGGCAAGATTTGTTTTTTCTCAGCTTTTAAAAACTGCTAGAAGTTGAACTGGAATTAGAAGAAACAGCATATTTCCCCAACAGTCCAAAGACATTATTTTGGAGAAATATCAGTTTGACAAAGTCTGAGGGACAGGTCAGGACAAACGTTGCTGGCCTTGATTAGATACCAGGTGAATGAGAACCTCCTGGAAAACTCTATGCCTGCCTTCTAGTGGAGCCTACACAGCAATGCAGAGAAAGCTCTCATTAATCCTACAGCCCAGACCCCTGCATGGGATTAACTTGTCAACTCCTGTTCATGACCAGAGTAAATCTTCTCATGAGAAACTGATAAACACTGCAGAGAGCCTGCAATCACCAGTTGTGTGCTATATTCAAATCTGCTGAAGGGTAGACACTTATCTCTGAATGTGATGTTCCTGATGGAAAATAAAGTTGCAGGAGGACGTACTTTCCTTCATGATTGATGATTCCCCTTCTAGGTTTCTGGCTACCATGGGAATATTTGTGGGGAAATCAAACATTATATTTGAGATACCCAGAGAATATTAGAGTTCTCAGAAGGGAAGAAGGGGACACAATCCCCATAAGACCAAGGAGAAAGCATATTGCTTCCTGGACGGAAGTTCTTATTGACTGAGCCAGCAATGACACTCTGAGGTGTTCCTTCACTGGCTGTGGTTAGGAGCTTTACCAATTGAACAGAAACTCAGAGGACAGAGATCCAAGTACAGTGGACCCACTTAGACCCCCCTGCTTCTGGAAGCCTGGGCTCCTACCTCATCTGGGACACAGTGAAGT